GATGGATGGGTGGGTGGATGGATAGATAGATGGATGCATGGATGGATTGGTGAGTAGATGGATGGATAGGTGGGTGGATGGATGCATGGATGAATGGATGGATGGATGGATGGAGAACATCCCATCTGTTGACTTTTAACTTAAAGGAATATAAATCTGTTGCATATAGTTTAAAACCGGAAGTTCAGAAAAGTCATAAGGCCCCTGAAACTGCATGTAAAAATTTGAATGTCTGAATGTTTCCATTTTTGTTGCAGAAAAGAGTGTAGAGCAACTTTCACCAGAAGGGTTTCATCCCACAAAAGGCTAAGGACATGTCTTTCAAACCAGTCCTGGAATTGCATAATATCATAAGCAATTGTACTCATTCCCCAAACTTACCTCCTACCTCTTCCAGTGCACAGCACAGCCACCTCCTGGGCTGCCTGTGACCACATCTCTTCTCTGTCTTCCTGTGCAGTTCATCCATCTCAGGAGCCTGGCTGGTTGGAGGGGACTCTGAATGGAAAGACTGGCCTCATCCCAGAGAACTACGTGGAGTTCCTCTAACCTCGAGCCCCAGTGGAGCTGCTGAGCTTTACGTGGTTTCCATGACAACTGCTGCTTCTGGTGTTGTGGGCCACTTTTCATTGCCACTGAGAAAGCAGGGAGCCTGACTGTTGCTTCCTGCCAACATGAATGCAACTGGGAATGTGTGCCACCATTCTCCACAATCATCTCAGCTTACAGTACAGTGATGCTGCAAGAACTGCACGTCAGTCAGCAGAGAGGTCATTGGATTTTGATAACCCAGAGGAAGGCTTGCAAAGCTGTCTTCTCATGAGTGCCCTAGAGAGCCCTGAATTCATTTCAACCATCATCCAAACCCCCCAGCCTTCTGGGAAGAGGAAGCAGGATGAGAATAGTACTAAAGAAAGTGCAGCATTGCTAAGTTGGAAGAGGCAGGGCAAAGAAACTGGCACAAGGTGCAGGTTGCCTCTACTGCTGTTGCTTATAGCAGACGCTCTTTCTCACTCCTTCCTTCTCCCAGAGACACAGTGCTGCAGGCAGCTGGGCCTGTCTATAAGCGCACAGGATGAAGGGGTTGCCGCACTGTTTATATATGGTCCAATCTCTCACCATCTCTTGAGCAGCTGTTGGCCTATAATCAGCAGATTTCAGTCCAGTTCTCTCATGCAAAGAAACACACGCCCCTCACGTTCTCTGCTGCTGAAGGCTTCCATCACTGCCATCACCTAGTAACCATAGCAACCCAGCCTACTCTAAAACTAAGCCAAAAATAATACTCCTCTTTGTATGGTATGTCACCCCCTTCTCCCAGCTCTGATGGTGTTGTTGTTGTTGTTGTTTTCTTTTGGAATAGTCTTCCAACAATCTGAAGCAGAAGATTAGACCATTAGGACGGTCTATCTAGGGCAGACAGCTCCTTATAATCTTTTGTTACTGAGGTCCTATAGATTTTAGAGATGATTCTTGGGCCAAACCTGTAGTCTGATTTTAAAAGGACATCTATATCACTGCCACCCAGAAAAAAAGAGGGAATCGTTAACTAGGATAGGCCATTAAGAATCTATAGGACACCAAATGTTGAGGCCTGGAGGCTAGGCTGGGTTCCTTCGAAGAGAAGGGGTTCTGGTTAAAAGGGTCCAGGTCTTAACTGTCTTATATGGGAGACCACCTGAATGAGGATCACATGACCTCAAAAGAACACGGTCGTGGTATCTTAGCACTCGAATGCCCTTGCTAGAGGGACTCTGGACAAACTGTCACACTCTCCAGGAGTCTCTCTGATGACAATGTTGCACCAGAGAGTATCTCTGGCTCCTGGAATCCCCTTGGGGTTCTTTAATGAAGAAAAGAAAAACTTGAATTGTGTTGAATTACTGAATCTTCTGTTTTTTTTTTTTAAAGATAAGCTTGTAAATAGAATGATTTGAAGTACTATATGGTAAAGTTTTATATTTGATACCCTTTAAGCTAGTTGTTCCATACATTTAGTGTTTCAATTGCTGAACAGATGTGTTTAAAGTTTGCAAGAGAGGCTGGGTTAAAGAGTCAAGGTCATGCCCCCTCTCTGACCCAGGGAGAGAATGTTTCCTCATGGTTCCCTTTGGTGAGCCTGAAAGGTTGGTTGTCTTCAGTTGTCTTTGTCTATGTGTGATGTGAGACTTTGGAGTTCAAAAGAGCATCTTCAGGCAATGAATTTTCAAAGAACTCCCACCCAACAGTAAAGGGACACTCAGGATTTAAATAGGTGGGGAGAGGGTGACATGTTTGTTTTTGTTTGTGTGTTTGTTCTTCTCAGGTGTATTTCTTGGTACCCCAGGATGTCCAGACAAAAGGAGATGAGACAGCTACCCCTCTTTCCCACACCTCCTAGGGTGATATATACATAAATATAGCTAGTTTGTAAATGTGTCTATCAGCTCTAAAAACAAAACAAGAAAGCCAGCTGCTGTGTTTCTTGATCATTGGTGAACTTTATTCTCTTCCTGTAGACATGTTCCTGCACTTCCCTTTCACCTCCAGATTCCCGGCAGCTCCAGAGTAAAATAGAATCCCCAAGAGGGTTGCAGACGGCACTGTTGCAGTTTTTAGAGTGGCTGTAATGTTAATAGTTCATTGTCATGATTCAGAATTGAGTTTAACAGCTCAGGATTATACTGTTGCCAACCAAGAACCCAGACAGGATCAAGGGAGACTTGAACTTTCAGTCAGGTGAACACAGGATTCCAAACTGCCATTGCTGGGTGTGATGGCTCATACCTGTTCTTAGCACTTGGGAGACAAAGACAAGAGGATTGCTGAAGTCCTACACCAGCCAGGTGGGAGGTGGGAAGAGGGTTGAAAACTAAAGGAAGAAATGGAGTACACTCAGGTTCCAGACCTGTTCTTTCTGAGCTTGAGAAAAGGTTGGACAATGGGGCCCGAAGGGCATGCATCCTCAAGTAGGGTTGTTCCTTCCAAATTGAAAGAGCCCAGCACGATACTTTTAATATATCTAATGGTTTAAATTGTCACCTGCCCCATAATAAATGAAGTATGCTTACAGTCAGGGCCCAGCACGACTGCTTGGATACATATTCCTTCTCTCCTGAGCTGGCCCTGGTTTGAAGCTGCTCTCTTAGGCTGACCTCCTTCCAGTTTCCCTGAGGCCATGTGTGGCCTATGACAGATGGTTGATCTGTTTCCCTTTGTCCAGCTAGCCCTCCCTCCTCCTCCTCAGGTAAAAGAACTGGAGAGATTAATATGAACCAAGTGGGAAGGAACTTGATTAAAAGTGAAATGTGCCCTTTCTGCTCTCTGAACACCCCTCAGCTCCCCATGAATAAGAAAAATGGGGTAGATCATGAGGAATGAGTTGATATTGGAATGGAAGTTCATTGAGCAGAGTCCCAAAGATTTCCCAGGAGCTTTGAGTTTCTCATAAGGCCCTGGGATGGGTTGGCTATGGTTTGAATTTTGGAGCATCACGATGGTTGAGCCTCACTCTTTGAGATGCAGAGTTCCATAAATGAACAATGCCATGCCGTGCCATGAAATGAGAAGATAGCTTCTCTCAGATCCCTGCCCCCAAGCAAGAAAGGTGGGCTTGCTCAACACGGATGATATTCTTTTCTCTCTTTTTTTTTTCAAAATAAATGTGTGTGACTGACCCCCATTCAGTAGATGCCTCTGTCATAGTCTTTAGTATTAGAGCCAGTTTGTAGTATTTCTAAAGCCATTATGTGAACTCTTGTAGATTCTTTGTTTTTATAATGAAGCAGAGAGGAAATGAGAAGTGAGTACTTGCAACCTGGCACCAGTGGGCTAGAGCCATGCTGGCTGCTTAGGAGTTACAGACACTTACCCACAACTCCAGACATGAGTGTGCCATGCCTGGATTGTAGAGGGAAATCCTTCTCAACTGCATTTTTCTCCTTAAGACAGTAGCAATCTCACCAAAAGCTGATTCTCAGTAATAGAGCTTCCAGAAGCATCCATTATTGATGCAGTTCACTAAAGATGGCACGATCATCTGGTTTTGGCTGGCTGTATCTGCTTCCTGAGACAAGGCTGTTTACCTAGCTTCATAGCCATGGAGCTTGGGGTACACCAGTGACCATCCTGGCACCCTGCATTTGCTCTAGCACCCACTGCTCTTAGTAGACAAGGAAACCAAGCCTCTGCTTAGCTACCTGACTTTCAAAGGAATGTCCAGGGTATCTGGGAAGGGAGTTGTCTGCCACCTCCAGCAAATGTGACAGTGATCACTTATGTTGACAGCCCTGCCCCAACAGCCCTTTAATCAGCCAGGTGCCCCTCACATCCCATAATGGTGTTTGAAAAATGTCTTTTGTGCTCAAATATTTCTGCAGCCATGCTGATCTAGTGGTTGTCTGTGAACGTAGCATCAAAATGACAACATCCGAGAGCTGTGAACCTTTCACAGTCCTCCAACATGCCTGAGACAAAACTCCACCAAGCAAGCGATGATTGGCTTTCTCCCTTTTGCTGCACACAGCACTTGTCTAACTTAAAGAGCTTCCACAAGTAGACGGAGACTCCAGATGTCACTCAGAGGCAGCCCCATACTCGTGGAAGGAAAGCATAGATATAAAAACACCAGGATCAGGAAGGAAAAGGTGAGCCACACTGAGGAGCCGTGGATCTTTAAGGTGGGCTGAGATACTGTTCTTACTTGGGAGGAAAAGCTATCACAGAAAAAAAAATTCCCAACTAATAATTTTTCACAAGTTTGTAGAACATTATAATGCATGACAGAATGTTTAGAGAGAAAGAACTGAGCATAGTCCTAACCCACAGAGGGAGAGCCAAGAACTATCATGTCAAAATTCATATTAGTGTAGTCAGTGGGGAGCAGAGCATTGGTAACTCAGTGTCTGAGCAACCTGAATTAGCTTCAGCCAGACTGATGTACTCTCTGCCATCATGCACACATGTGTACACACACCCACCATTCCCATGGGCTTCTGAGAAACACCAACAAACAGCATTCTTGGGGTTCAAGATGCCGGAATCAGCTTGGTGTCTGTGAAAACATACATCTGGTGATTCTAAAACTTATGCGTGCATGTGTCCGTGTGTATGTGTTCCTGTGTAGCACAAACATGTAAAGGTGCAGCCTTGGGTATAGACACACATGAGCTGGCACCTGTAAAGCTTTAACAGCCTTGGAGGGAGCATGCCAGAGGAACTAGAGACTGTCAGTTTCCTATCAAAAGATCAAAGCTACAAACGAGTCATCATCTGAAGCCTCTGTTCGTGTTTATCCCATCAGTTATCCACAGCTGTGTTCCTTGGTGACTTATTAAAAGTCATGGTAAAAACTCAAACCCATAAATTCCCAGTAGCTAATGCTAGGCTAGTATTCAAAAGCACTCTAAAAGACATTTAGTCCATATTTTGAGAAAGAAACTATTTGCATGTTTAATTCATCTTTTAGGCTACCATTGAGTATACTGTAAAGTGCTGTGTGGTATCAAGTCAGTAAATTACTTATAAATGGCACTTTAATGTTTTCTTTTGAGAAATCATAAAAACACTGTTGTAAATTTCAGTATTGAATATTGACTGGTACATAGAATCAAATTCTGTAATTAAAAAGTAACCTGCAGCTAGGATAGAATATTTTTCTTGTTATTAGAGGAAAAAAATGTTTTGCCATGTCAAGGCTTTTAAAAAATGTGTTTCTGTGCCATTGTGCATATCTATAAAGAAAATACAATTTCTTGTCAGGCACCTCTGAAACCTGGCTTTTTAAATGTTTGGTTCCTGTCTGTGGCAATCCCTATAAAGTGAGTGGAAGTATGATTTTGAATTAAATGACTTTTCCATTTGATAGTGTGTTTGTTTCTTGGGTTTCTGGTTAGTTTTGACTCAACATATTTTAATTTATACACTGATCAAATGTCACACGTCTAGGCCCTTACAGTTACGGTTGTCAACTATGGGTTTTTTTTTTTCTTCAATGAACTGGGAGTGGCTCTGTGTTCCACTCACCAAGAAGTCAAAAGCTAGTATACTTGAATGGGCTACTCAGGCCTATCACAGTTAAACCCCAAACAGTTATGTCCCACAGAATACTAATGATTTTTTATCTCCAAGAACACATAATAGGCTTGAGTCCTCCAAAATTCAACTTTCTAATCAGTTAACCCTTTTCTAGAACTCGATGCAGAACACAGCAGACTGACTGTACCACTGAGTGTTCTCCCTTCTCAAACCGTACAGGAATGTCCTGAGTTGTGGCTTGGGACCCAGGTTTACAGTGAGCCTCTAGTTTTGCCTCATGTTCCAGTGACTCATGGATGCCTCTGCAGGAAGGTGATCCAGAGAGAGTGAGAAGAAAGAGACAGGGGTGCTCCTTTGGAGCCCGGATTTAAGGAGGAGGTTTTTTGAATGTGTAGGTCACAGGTGAGCAGTCTGTATTATCCTTCTTTGCAAAGCTCGGCTTTGGTGGAGCTCTGGGAACATCACAAATGTCCCACACCTGTGGTCCTCACTGAACCTGCAGGGACTCTAGAAACAGCTCTCTTGAAGACTATACATGTGACATGTTTGGTTCTGAGGTGAGGCTTTCTGAGTTCAAAGGCAACTTGGAGGGTTTGGTTTATTTTGTGTACATACCCCCATCACAGTGGCGTTGAGGGAAGCCAGGGCAGGAACTAGGTCAAACAGGTGCAGAAGTAGAGACCATGGAGGAATGCTACTATCTCTCTTTGGCTTTCTTAGCTGCGAATACAGTTCAGCCCTAGCTGCCTAGGGATGATACCACCCATAGTGGGCTACCCTCCTACATTAGTTAGAAATTAAGAAAATGGCTCATAGACTTGCCCACAGGTAGGTGTGACAAAGGCAATGCCTCTACTGAACTTCCTTCCTCCTGGGTGACTCTTTTGTATCAAGTTGACAAGAACAAACCAGCCAAAGCCCACATGTGTCTGGATGCTATAGCCAAGAGAATGAACTATGTGAGTCTATTCCTGTCTTATCTGGCCTTGTCCTTTCCCACAGCTTCCTAGTCACTCTTACTTTTGTGTCTTCAAAAGGTGAAAGGTTTTCATTTTAATTTACTTTTAGCAGCTATCTGGAGCCGATCTTGAATAGTGCTGCCCAGTGCTTTGCTGATGTGCTCATGATGGTTCTGGCAGCATGATTGGTTGGTAGGTTGGTTGGTTGGAAGAGCACTGTGGGTAGAAATGGACTTGATTGACAACTGAAATTGGCTGGCTGATACTGGGAGTGAAAAAATATTTTCTCAGTTCCAAAACAAGCACTGGCTCCTGAGAATTATGCCATGTCTTTCTTCTTTCCTCAGGTCTTCCTAGGACTTCACTCAAACACCATACACCTCTCAATGCTTTTAAGAACACTAAGTTAAGCTGCAACTAATTAAGGATATTGAGCTAGCCATTGTTGGCTGACTCTAGCTTTCTCAGCAACCAAGAGAACCTCTAACCATGGCAGTAACTACTCAGGTGGGTGAGGCTCCTAGCCCGGGACAGCTGTTCTAGGGGAAGGGATGGACATACCAAGGTACCAGAGTACCATCCTGGGATACTCAGCCAACAGTAGACATTTGCTGATGAGAGCCATGATGGTTTCCCACTGAAATGATCAAAAACATATCTCACAGTGCTTAGTTGTCACACTACATAGTCAGCTGGTCTTTTATGGAATTGACCCCCAGGATCCTGGCCACAACTGCTGCTAGTGAAGTCCAGTTCTTTCTGGAGACATCAACTCACATCCTACCAGGTCTTGTGCCCACCCTAAAGTCCACATGTATTCCAGCACTATGGCCTGATGTCCCTTCTGTATTCATTAACTTGAATCTACACGTTAAGTGACCCTTGACAAAGGGCCCCATTTTCTCAGAGGCTCAGAGTAAAGCCTGTAGGAACAAGACTTTCTGCCCTCCACTCAGGCATGCAGCTTCCCCAGATGGTGCTCTCGACTTAGACTTACGCTCAACAACCCCTCTGGCTATAACCCAATGACTAAGGGCTAAAAGCCCCGTTACTGTCATCTGGGTTACTGATGACTCGTGCTAAGCTGGAGGCCCCTTCGACAAGTTACAGAATCACCCTAAACACTAAAAGTACTTTTTCCTAAGGACCCATCACGGAAATTCCACACTGCCCCATGGGATCTGGTCTGGTATCTATCACTCTCACTATGGGAATTCTTTGTGTCTGACTGAAGTTTCCCATGGTGCAGCTGTAGTCTATTTCCATCCTGGCTTTTTGTATGGTGAACAATTAACTGGTTTCCACCCTTTTTGCAGAACTCTCAATTTTTATGCTTCCACTCAGTAGTTTCCTCTTGACCAGTTCACATGCCAGGACCTGCTAATGCCAGGAAAGGAGCACGCCTCTAGTCTCTTGGCACTCCCACCAGGCTTTGCCAACTAACGTAGATCCTTGCTACAAGAGATAAAAGTACGAACCAGACAAAGCCTGGAGGAGGTGACCTTCAAGGTAGACCTTGATATCTGGAGAGCATGAGCCAGTTAGGTCCACGGAGAAGAGTCCCAAGTCTACCCAGGTGAAGAGGCAGGACACCAAAGCATGAAGGTATAGGGTCAGACTGGGGTAACCTCAGCATAGCTAGACCATGGGGAGACAGGGCTTTGTGGAAGTTGTAAATAATTCATCTTCAGCTGTTCCCACCTTAGTGATTAGGTTTCTGTTTTAGTCTCAGTGGACAATAGTCTTTCTTTCTCACTGGGCATATCCAGCTCGTTGCTATATCCCCTCCCCAAATCTTCAAGACATATGAAACAGTATAATTGTCCCACCTAATAGATAATAAAACTGTTCATGGCGGTCACACAAGCTAGGATGAGGTGAACCTACAACTCCAGCAGGAATCTATCTAGTTCTACAGTCTCTGAAAACTCTTTTAGAAATCCCTTCATGTACTATCATGCCTCGGTGCATGTATGTCCCACACAGGACTGTTTTAAGCTCAGTAAAGGGCTATCCTTCCCTGTTTTTACTTTGGCTCTCTCGCTCTGTCCCCATTTCTGTCTTCTCCATCCCTGTGAATGATGTTAACAGTCCCCTCTTGGCCTGAGCAGAGAGCCTCCCAAAGAGCACAGCCTCTCTGTATGCTGAGCTGTAGTTCTGCAGAATAAGAACTGGACCAGTCCAAGTGACAACCCTCTTTTCCTCTTGAAGCCTCTTGTTCACTGATTTTGGGCTGTCTGCTCCCCAGTTGTTGGGCTTTCTGCACATACTCTTGGTTTTTCAGGTCAGTCCTTGGACTTCAGCTGCGAGCTTTGGCAGGCTCAGCACCTTTGAGCCTGCACTGTGGAGGCAGCCCCTGCAGAGGCCCACCCATGTTTGCCTGACTGGAAATATGGCATGTGAAAACTTTTTAAAAATTTATTCTGAAAACATTTTCTTTTCCCCAGCTGCTGAGGGCATAACTTCAGGCCAGGGAAACCCCATAGACTTGTGTCTTCTTGTGGGAGAACCACAAGAAGTATTTCCAGTCTGATCACCATGTGTCCACAAAAGATCATTTTGTGGCATTTAAACTCCTTCTTGAGCCTAAAAGTCAGAACTAGTGAAGGGGGAGGGGATCCCAAAGTAGATGACAACTGAGGTCCCAGGACACAGAGAATACCCAATTTGTACTGGCTCTTCTCCGAAAGTGAAAAGCTCACCAGCCCTGAGAGGCCCATATGATGTGTTGGGCCAACCTCAAGGGTGGGGCCTACCTCAGAGGTGGGGCCTGCCTCAGGTTGTGGGGCCTACCTCAGGTGTGGGACCTACTTCAGGTGTGGGGCCTACCTCAGATGTGAGGCCAACTTCAAGTGTGGGACCTACTTAAGGTGTGGGGCCTACCTCAGGGGGTGGGGCCTACCTCAGTTATGGGGCCTACTGAAGTTTTGGAGCCTACCTCAGGTTGTGGGCCCTATCTCAGGTGTGGGGCCTACCTCAGATGTGGGACCTACCTCAGCTGTGGGGCCTACTTTAGATGTGGGGCTGACCTCAAGTGTGGGGACAACTTCAGGTATGGGGACAACCTGAGGTCTGGGGCTGACTTCAGGAGTAAGGCCAACCTGAAGTGCTCAGGAGGATGGGAGAGGACAGAGCAGGTCTGTGTCACAGAGCCCACTAGGACTTGTTAGGCCTCACATTGACTCTCCCCCACCCACCCACCCCACACACCCGCTTATTGAATTCTCAAACCAAGCCTGTGAAACAGGTACCTGCTGTTATTCCATTATGCCTGTGAGGAAGTCAAATACCAGATTAGCCAACTTGGTTCAAAGTCACAGAGTTAATAAGTAACAAGGCAGAGCTAACCCCAGCTAACCCCAGTGCTCACACTCACACTATCCACAACTGTCACATGAGGCAAGGCCCAGAGGCTCTGTACTCCCATGCCCTTCATCCCCCCACCCAGAGAGAATAGCTGTTGTTCTTATCTGCTGACAGCCAGCACCCTTTCTACTGGTAAGAGTACCCCACTTTGCTTCAGAAAACCACACTCTCCTTACACCTTCCAGTCCCAAGAGTTTGTATGGCCCGGGATCAACCCTGCCTCCAGTGGTGACTGTGTGTTCTGGCCTGATATCAGATCAAGTGTTTGATTGCTTCAGGAATAAACTCAGGGTCTAGAGTGCCACAGCGGTGGCCTGGAACAATGTACACAAACCCCAGCATAGGACAGCATAGAACCTGTGAAAGAGAAGGTGCTGTAACCCACCCTCCAGAAGCTTCTCTGGGTCACTTCTTCCTATCCCATCTCTTATCTAAAGCCCAGGATGAGGCCCCTTCCTTCATGTGAAGTGGTTGTTGAAAGAGAAGAGTGCATCTGTTCGAA